GAGCTGTCTTGTGTATATGTGTGTGTGTGTATATATGTATGTAATAGTAATCATATTCAATACATAATGTAGGTGAGAAACATTTTAGACAGTTAAAGGTTCAAAACATGTTCCTCTGGTACCATAATAAAATGAACGCTTTCTCATAATTGTTTTTTTTCTAGGAGGTTTTAGACCTCCTGTTGTAGAAGCATGCTTTAAAACAGAGTTATGTTGAAAGGGTGTTCTCTGCAGGATGACTGGGGAAAGCTATGCTTTTTGAGCCTTACCTGAGGGAAAGCTACTTAAGAAAGATAACATGGAACAGAAGAGGATGACTGGCAAGGAGAAATGGGTAAATTGAGAAAAAGCGATAGCTGGAGTGTGATATGGCAAGTAGAGCCTCAAGTGTGGATGGGAGACTTACTTATTGAACTATTAGAAAGAAAAGCTCACCCCAGAGAGACTTAAGAGGAAAATGAAATGTTCTAAGCACTCTGTGGAAAAGGTTGTCCAGTATGAGGTTGGGAAGCACCAGGTGAAATGGTTGTAAACTCATCTTACTGCTGTAGATTGCTATTCAACTTCCCAGTATGAGTTAGTGTATAAATTTCCTTTCAGTTCAGGAAACAACATTCACTTGTGAATTGTTCTGTTTTCTGATTGTCCTATAGCCGTAATAAGGAAAACTATGTAAATAACCAAGGAAGGAAAAGACATTATTCTGCACACCATGGATTTCTAGCCTGTCTTGTGAGCTGAGTCAAATATTACTAGAAATTGGGCCCTTAAGGATGGTCATATTTTGGTAGTTACCCACCTGCTCTTAATTAAGCAGCATACGGCATGCCAGTCTTTGAGCTTTGCTTAGTATAAAATACAGTGATAAGAAGTCTTGATCAGGCTTTTAGAAAGGATCTACCTGCGATGAAATAGTGAGTTCTGGCTAGAAGGATGAGGTAAGATTCTTGCTTTGATATATTGCTTGAATATGTTATTTTTAGTACAACTAGAGAAGAGAAAGTATTGAGGAATTAGACTTTAATTAGAAATGTTACTTTCACTTCCTTTTAAAATTAGTATTTGGCCACAGTCATTCCACAACAAAAGTAATTAGACTGTGTTTTCCATACTAGTACAGGTGGAAGATATGCAGCTCTTCTTAGTGGGTGCTGTGATAATCGCATCTGAGTTACTAACTTGCATATCTAGCAGACAATTTTTGACGTATTTCTCTATGTAGTCATAAATCCTGAAACTAGTTAATTTCTTTAATGGACTGAAACTATCCCTTATTTCACTACTATCAATGGTGACTTAATGAGGATAAAATAATTTGGTTTATGACTGAAATAACATTCTTACCTGTCTGTCTTGTTTTTTTCTGAGAAAAACATAATATTTTGATTAAAGATACTGTTTTGGAATTAAAATATGAATCAAGAATAATGTTACTTAGGGTCATGGAGTAGCACTGAATTTGTACCTGCATAGTTAGAGATTCAAAGATTGAAATCTGAGTAATTGAGTAGACACAGAACTTTCTGGTGATTCTAATTTTATTCTGTCTTGAGATTATGTTAGGACAATAAAATCACAGTAAAAGGGAGATTCTTGAGAAATGATTGGTGTACAATAAAGATGAGACTAATATAAGTTGGGATCTAGAAAAGTTTTTAGTGCCACAGCAGTGTATCACATCAGAATATATTAATAGCTTTTTGAAAACTTATATCATAAAGATCTTGAGAATAATTTGAAAAATTATTTCAAAGAATAAGATTTCTGAGAAATGATTAAAAATAAATGGAGGAGGGAGTAGAATAAATAATAAATAAATAAGTAATAACTGAGACAAGTTGAAATATAGAGGAAATCAAACCAGGTGAAGGAAACCTGGGAAAATTTCACTGATTTCCTTTTTATTATTGACTGAGCAATAAAGCAATTTATTTTCTAGCTTGAGGTAACGTATGTTCATATGGCTGGTGGGCTCTGCAAATGAACTAAATTAATTGGTGTGGATAAGATCTTAATACTTACTTTTCTTATTTTTCTTTCATAAAGCGGAAACTTAAAAAAATTGTAGGTGATGAAAAGCAGGCATTTTGATCTGCCAAAGAACAATTTTTAGCCTTGCCTATAAGCTATAAAATCCTTAGGGGTTCGTTATTAATCCAGATGGATTTGGGCCCTTGTCCTGTGATTTGATAGTAAATCATTTAAGGTAAAATTACAGCTTGTTCAGTAAGAGAGATAAATCACAGCTGCTCTCTTGAGATTATATCAATGTATTAGTCAAAACATGTGGTGAATCAATTAGGAACGGGAAAATTAACAACACTGTCAGGTACTATGTTACTATGCATTAGTGGAGTAAAATACAAAGTTTTTAAGAACTGTGATTTTCAATATATTTGAAGTCTTCATTGTAATTCATACTGGCAGGACATACTAAGTTAAAAATAGGAAAACTGCTGACAAATGAAAAAATACGGTATTATACCATATGATATTTTAAAGGGGTGCTTTTCTTATTTCTGGTATGAAATTAACAGCACTCTTAACACTAAGAGTGATTAATTATCTGAATTGAGTAATAGCTATCTCATGAGAATGCACAATACTTATTAACTTACAAAATATCTTAATTTTATTGTGTTCTTTTACATTAAAAATCCCTAGAGATTTGTTTTAAGAGACAAAGGATTTAACTAACAAACTTATTTGGGCATGCAAGAGCATGAAGATCAGAGGTGTATTTTTTTTTCCTACTGCACATGCAATACTTCCCATGAAGTGTCTTCAGAAAAAGAAATATCTCACAAATTCTAATTGCTGATACTTCTGTGAAAGACATATAGTTATGTGGTTTTTCTGAAAGGTACTGTTCTCAACTCTCTCACACACACAAATAATCAGAAATTGTCATTCAGAAAGCAGCATTTTAACGTGTGGTAGTAGTTCTTTATGTTTGGGAGAATAGGTCAATGCACACAGATAGAAATGTTGAACATTTATAATGAAACGTGATGCAATTGCACGTCTTTAAAAATTGAAGATACGGCATATTGATAATGGAATAATGGAGACTCCCTACCCCAACTATCATCTCTGTTCAAGACCATTAGGATTCAGAATATTAAGAGCAGAGCAACTGGGCGTAACAGCCTACGTTCAACATCTGTCATGCTGGAGTCCATTAGTGTTCAATTGCATCCTATTGTTTTTGGATTATTCAACCTCATTTCATTGTCATTGCTTCTGCTAGGGATTAATCAGCTGTTTACAACTACACCAAGTTTTGAAGTAATAATGGAAACAATTGAGCTATAGTTCTAAATAAATATACAGTATTCAGTCTCTAATGAAAAAAGTTACTAATTTATGAATACTGGTAACAATTTAATTAAGCTTGAAATCAATACAGATAATAAATCATTGTGTGGCAGGGTTTTTTTTTTACCTTTTGTGTATATCATAAAATGATCTTATGATATTTCCTTGTAGGTTTATGTGGATAATGGTTTTAATAATACAAGTGCAGTAAAACAAATTTTGATTATGGGGTGTGGGTGTGTGTATGAGGGCTTCTCTATCATTACAATTGGTAGCAGAAATGATCCGTTACTGCCAGCAAGCAGATTTCTTTTTTTCACATCCTCTTTTATTCTCTCTATGTTTTTAGGGATATTACTAAAAAGGCACTTTTTTTTTTTTTTTAAATTCATGTAAAATACACATACATACTTTAATATGCTGTATTAAAAAGGGCAGTTTTCAGACTATTTGTATACTTACATGTTTTTGTGTATGTCTATGTCCCAACCTATCCAAATATTTTTACAATCTTTATTAGATAAATCTATAGCTACATTTTAACTGTTTAAATATATTTTAAATTATTGTAATAACATTGGATTTGCTGACATGCGAATACATAATCCCCATTTTTCTCAAGGTATTACTCTCTCTGCAATGTTGTGTACTTTATACAATAATGAATTGTGAGTCCTGAGGGTTTCTAATAATTTGAGTCGACTTATTTTGGTACGTATAACACCAAACAGTAGTATTCTCGGCCATATACCATTAAGCGAATTCTCCTCTGTTTCATTAGAACAGTTATTTCTTCTACCCTTACTACTATCTAACCAGAATTTTCACACGTTTTAATGTACAAATACTACAATGCACAGAGTTTTTTTTTTTCCTGAGTTGCAACAGATTATCCATTGAAAGGGTCTTTTGCTTAACTGCCCAGAGTCTTGTGGGGCCAGCCAGACACTACTCCAGATGGCAAGTTGTTAGGGCTGGACAGAATGGCTTTGGAAGACTTCTCAACAGATGAAGGCTCTAATGTTCGGATTTTACTGTTTTGTTTTTTTTTTTTTCCCTGTAGTTCCCAGGGTGGGAAGGTACTGGGATGGAAGCAGAGTGCCGCCCGCCCACCTGCTACCACCTGTTTAGCTTTTGCAGTTTCTATAAAGCCTCATCTTGTCTGTAAGACACAGACATTACTTGCCGGCATGAGTCAAGAAAGGAGAGATTTCCGTTACGAAGTTATGTCTTCAGATCGCAACAGTTCATCGTTTCAAAATACTCTCCTAAACTGAATCAGAACTTCTTTCTTTTGAAATGGTCATTTGGAATTGATGTGTTTTTAATCCATTAAGATCCTTTTTGGATAAAATAGACCATTTTCTTCAGTAGCATACATTTTGAGAATGGAGATTTCATTGTTTTCTCTCTCTTTGAGTTTAAAGAAATTAAAAGAATGAAAGTGTGAGACATTAAAAATTCTTTATTCTGTCTTTAAACAATAAGAAGCAATTTCCAGACATTTCCAGAAGAACCAGAAGACCTTTTATTTTATCTTTTTTTTTTTTTTTAAAGAAAAATGCTAAGAAAAATATCCCGTCATTGATATCTGGAAACAGATTCAAGAGGTACACAGGCTACTCACATGACTGCTTTCCCTAAGACTTTTTAGATACCTAATTTTTTAAAAGTAATCTTTGTGTGTGTGAAACTGAAGCTGCATTGAATATGAAAACCTGTAAATCCAGTCATTTGGATTCAGGCGTAGAATCAGACATGCAGTGCAGAAGTGGACCAAGCTGTGTTGTGAAGTGCAGTTCGGAAAGGATGGAGAATGCTGCAAAGAGAAGACTGGCTGCCAATGCCAGGGAGAGAAGACGGATGCAAGGACTAAACACAGCCTTTGATCGTTTGAGAAAGGTGGTTCCACAGTGGGGTCAAGATAAGAAGCTGTCCAAGTATGAGACCCTTCAGATGGCTTTGAGTTATATCATGGCTCTCACTAGAATACTTGCTGAAGCAGAAAGATACAGTACTGAAAGAGAATGGATTAGCCTTCACTGTGAGCACTTTCATCCGGAGAGCTACCACCATTACACGGGACAAAAAACGGCAACGGACAGTGATCCTTATGCACAGCGACTATTGAGCTATCATCCTGAACACTTTCAAATAGCTAATTAGAACGAACTGTACGAACTGAGAATATGCAGCAGGCCAGATGTGTAATTTAATAATTAGCAAGAGTTAATCTGCTTGAATAAGGTAATATTGGCATTATAATAGCTCATTCTTGTTTGCGTCTTACACTAATTTGACAAAATAAATTTGCTTTGAGAACTTTAAATCAATATGCATTTAAGAAGATTTAATTTATTTAATGCTGGTGAAAAGCATACTTGGAATTTGAAATCTTTCTGACAATTGCTTCCTAGTTCACCTAGTTTATTTGATTCTTTTATTAAATAAGTTTTTGGTGTTTTTTTTTACTGTGATGAATCATGACAGTATTTTGTACAGATCACAGGCCAAATTGATCCATGGTGTAACTGTGTGGAATAACACCAGAAATTAACTTCATTCCATGTTTTTATTTTTATGTCAGCTTTAAAGTTATTCTTTGGTTTGTTTTCACATACACGGCTCCCATGGAAAAAGTTTTATAATGTGTTGGAGTTCTAGTCCTCAGAGAACTAACTTTCTTAAACTTTGTAAGTTTGACGTATGGGTTCCAAGGTTGTGTAGGTTTGCTTTAATCCAATTTATGGTGTCTCTTGTATGCTCGAAAAAGAGCTAGTTTCAAGTCATGGAAGGAATGTTTTTATTTTCAACGGCTGTAAAAGCACATGTGATTATATACCATATATGAGAATGCTCACATGAAAATAGTCTAAACTTCTAGATTTTTGTAGACTTTAAATGCTTGGATTTTATTCTTTAATTTTATGTTATCTGGAAACAATAACAGATTTTGTAAATAATAAATAAAGTGTTTTCTATGATATGTCCTCACCAACTACCTGAAATTCCTACTGTAGGAATCACGTACTAATGGCTTTCCCAGCCCAAATACTACACTACTTCCATCACAGTCTTGGCAGTTTAATCTGCAGGAGAATCAACTAGCAAATGATGCTTGCTTCCCAGTTAGAGTAAGAAATGTGGTTATGTACCCTCTGAAAAACAGCCTTTAAATATAAGAGTTTGGTAAAAAGTTATAGAGCATTCCTGAAGTTGAGTTCATTTCAACCCTGCTGATGCCCTGAATTGACTTCTGTTTGTTCACTTCTTTCACTGGTGGAGGATAGAAGGATCTGGGTGGAAAAGGCAGAAGAGGAAAGGAAGTTGGGAAGGTCGAAAAATGAGAAGGAGCAGGACAGCTGGAGAAGCAGATGTGTTTGTAGCAGCATGTAGAGTCCGCAAAAGTTCGACTGCCGATGTCTGTTGTGATGGCAGCAGAATATGAAGATGAAGGGTACTTCTGCTGGTGCTTGTTTCCTGAAAGAAGCCCTTGCTAGTCTTAGCCGTGAGGGAGAAGGAGAAAAGGAGGCGCTGTCCCAGAACAGCTGTTGGTGGGTTTCCAGCAGGGAAGGCTGGCGGGTTCCCTGCTGGCTGCTGCCATATTTTAGAATTCTTTCAAATGACAAATGAATAGCTTTGTTAGGAGTTACTTTCAACAATTAAGCAGCTTTCAGTGAAAAACAAAAGCATCAATAGGAACTAAACCCTGTTTTGGGGGGGAGGGACTCTGCTGCAGGAACAGTGACATACAAAGACATGACCTTGCTGTCTGTCTCCTCTCAGAACCCTTACTGACGTTTTGCCCTTGGTCATCGTCGTGCAGACTAGTACGTTTCCTGAGGCGGGAGTTCGACTGTTCCTAGAGTGAAAGCTGCTGGGACAGACTTTCAGGCTAGGTTAAACACATAGAAGAGGCACTGTATATTCTGAGCAACTCCCTCCTTTAAACAGTGGCATTCAGGAATGTTTTTTAATGTGTATTTTAGCCTCTCTAAAGGTAATGAATAGTGATAATTATTAAAATGTGAGCTTTTCCTTCTTATGCATTACATTAAATCTTTATCAGCAAACAGAAAGCGGATTCAACCTTCTGGAAATATGAAGTCATGTTACTCACTGATTTCTTTGCAGAAGTTTATAGAGAGAGAATAGAATTAATTGTTGTCCATCATATAGCCAAGTTAATACTGTTTGAATATTCCTCATCATTAAGTGGCAAGTTTATGCATGTAATAACAATCAGTACAATCCTTAAATAATTAAATGATGTGCCATCTTACACTAATTTATTAGCTGTAAACTTTAGGCAGACATTGTCTCACCTGCACTGCTAGCACAGTAGTGGGTTTTCCATCGTGAAACCGGAATATGATGCAAATAAATCGTGCAATTATATGACGTGGAAAACTTGGCTTAGTGAAAGGTAGCCGCCTAAACCTTAGGTGGGAAGGGTAATGCAATCCAAAAGTATAAATACCAGAGTAGTGTGCAAAACAGTACTGATGTGTTTCTGCACCACTGGCATATCTTTTGATTTTGTGGGACATGACGTTGCAGTTTATATGTAATTTACTTAAAAGTACTTAACATCCATTTATCTTCCGATTTCTTCCGTGCAGGGTTGTAATTTACCATCTACTGCATATGATGATAGATATAATTACAAAAATAATGGATTAGTATGCAGTGAATGATTAAACGATAGTAAGCTCACATAAAGAGGAACAAACCAACAGAAAACATAAAATATCCGTGGTCGTGTTACCAAAAATTATTAAGAATTGAAACAGAAGTCCTAAAAAGCCCTTTAGTGCAGTACATAGCTTGTGAACACTTTGTAAATCAGGTCATTGCATCAATGTCTGCTGTTGAACAATATGATAATATAATCCCCATTCTCTTAGATTTGGTTGTGCTAGTGGGAGGTGAATGTTTTATTGACCTCTTTATCTATTGATAATAATTAGTAATATTACTAGTGGAAAAATTGTGATTTTGTATAATGTAGTAGTATTTTTGTTTCTTGGGAGGGTGCAGTGTTGAGCTGGAAGTTGGGATTTCCAATTTACTATAGCACAGAAGGCAGCAGAGTGTTCTTTGTAGTGTATAGACAGCTGTCTGTCTACTGATGATCTGTCAAAGCTTTTTGAGGAGTGAATTGCAGTGAGGGAGAAGTTTAATCATTAAAAATTCTTTCTGAAGGCAGTCTGAAAAGCAGATATTATCCATGCTGGTTTGGACTTCTCAAACTCAACAACTATTGAGGAAGTCATTGGTTTCTTTTCATAGCTTTCCTTTACAAATGCTTTAGTGACACTTTGTGAAATGTAAACTTGACTGTTTAACTTGGGTTTGATTATTGCTCCCAAATGTTGTTTCCCCACTGGCTGTTTGATGCTTTTCGGATAATGGCTGTGACCCTTCTTCTGGATTGGACTTTACTGGTATGGGCATTTGAAGCCTCCTCCCCTTAAATAATTATTGGTTCCAGTGGGCCTCCAAATGAAGCAAAAGCTTAGATGCTCAGAGTTTGGTGGGTTCTTAGTGACTGAGTTTTGTCTGCTCATAAATTTTTGTCCCACTGAACAGCAGTGCAAACCTGAAACACTTGAATTTGTAGTATCAGTACATTGTAATTCTAGAACCACATTATTGTGAAAACATTGGGGATGATAAATGCTTGCTTCATTAAATATTTGTTGCATGCTACACACATACATGTTTCGCTATTGAAATTCAGTGTGAAATTCCAATGAACTATTTGTGGGAAATTAACCTTTATTCTTCTAAAAGGTTTAGACTGCAGGGTTTTCTATTTGAAGTAGCTGTAGATACTCTGCTTCTATGATTCTTTGAATCATGTCACCCTGTTTTGACAAGGTGACCAGAGTTATTTTTGAACTCAGAACTGGAGTGGCATTTTTAACTGCAGTGACTTTTCAGTGGCTGAAAGCAGAACTAAGGTAGCACGTTCCCAAAATGTATGTTAGTAACGAAAAGTCAGTGGTTTCTTCCTAAGTATTGAGGTCATCAGTGGATATGTGTTAGCATGTTTTACAACTTTAATTCATTCCAATTTTTTAGGCTTCTATTTTCCATCTCACCATTTATAAGGTATTTGGGGCACAGTCCATCTTTTGCTATACACACATACAGGGCAAAGCTGAGTTCTTGGCTGGAATTTCTAAATGGTGCTGCAGTACAAATTCGGAAAAGTAAAAATGTTGCTAACCTTAGTTACAGTCTTGTAAAGTCAATGACATTACAACTTCTTCACGTGGGGAAGCATGACTATCATTAGATTTTTTTAATATTTAGCTAAGTTTCCTATACCATGTTAAGTAGAACTTCCCTGGTGAAATCTTTGTGGAAGTCCTTACTGTGATGTGATTCACTAGGCACAAATTTAAAAAAATACGATTTCCAGTCAAATTTTTGATTTTTCAAAATAAGCTTTTGCCTTAAGATGGGTACCCTTACACTTCCAGCTAGTTTCCAGCTATTTGGGCTAAGCAATATGGATGCAGTTTTCTGTAATTTAGGAGTGAAATGTATCTAGATTTTTAAAATTCAATAAGAATTTACAGAACAGCTTCTTTTTGCTCTAAATATGTTCAGCTGTTCTATCTCTACAAAGTATCCAGGGAAAAAACAAATGCACTGAGCATAAAGACATGTTTATTCATTGAAGAAGCAGTCCAGTGTTGCCTCTGCACAGATATCTTGTAACAAACATTAATTTCACCTGGTACTTGGGCACTTTTTAAAAAATGCTTTATGTTTTTAACTTTAATTACATTTCAAGAAAACATGGCTTTAAAAAACCCAAAGCAACCCCATGTATAATATTTAAATATATTTTCTACCAAAGAGTACATTTTAATATTGTCTACTGATTTTTTTTCTAATTTGTAATTCAGTTTTCATTTGTACAGAAATTAGCATGCAAAATATATCTTACTCAGAATTTGTTTAAAATGTCTGCATATGTAACTCCAAGGAAAAAGAAGTTCATTTTTGAGTGGCTTCCTGCAGCCTGGGGTGCATAGTTGGTTTTTTTTTTCCTCCTTCAAAATTTCAGAATGTCTTCAGTATTTTGCCGTTTCTTTACAAAACCGTGTTGCCGGCTATTAATGGATTGTATGATCCTAAAGGATGGTCAGTTTCTGAACAG